CCAGGGGGAATGGCCACGCCGCAATCCCTTCTCCTCCATTCTCCTCTCAGGATCTTGGGCACGCACGCACACGTGCCCTGTGTGAGTTTAAGCCACTGGGTCTGGGACGCGAACCGCAGTCGACTACGTGGGAGTCCAGCGACATAGCCATTACGCTAAGTACTGGTCCCTTATGATGAGACTTTTTAAAGGGAGATTTTTACTATAGGGTGTGTGCACTTGCTGGAGAGACAGAAAGAGACAGAGAGATAGAAAGTGAGAAATCATCCCCCCACCCCCCCAGAAGGAATGGTGAAGCCACAATCGCTGCTCCTCCAGTCAGGATTTTGGGCATGCGTGCACACGCACCTGGCATTAGTTTTAAGTTGCTGATCCTGGACTCAATTGCGGTCTACAATGGCCTATTACGTGGGAGTCCAGTGACATAACCATTATGCCATCTGCTGGTCCCTGATGATCAGACTTTAAAAACGGTTTTTGGGACTATTTGAAGAGGTAATGGTTAGTGTTGGACTCCAACATGACTGAGGTGGCTGCAACCCAAACCTGAGGCTTGAAATTCAGTGCGGGGCTATGTGTGTGCCTGCCCAAAATCCGGAGAGGAGAATGGAGAAAAAGCGTTTCCAGAGCGGCCATTCTTATTTTCTGTCTCTTTGTCCATCTCTTGTCTCTCCGCGAGCCCACGGATCCTATAGCAAAAAAATCTCTCCCTCAAAAAATAAAAGTAAGAAATAGAACAGTTTTCAAAGAGTTTTAGTTACAAACAGGATTCTTTCCGACCAATCTAAAAACACTGTGATTCGCTAACGTGAGTGCATATCAGATCACCTGGAGTGGTGTAGGTGATTGTAAAAACTTCGATTGCCCTCAATTTTGTACTCCGAGGGTTTGGGTTAGGAACGGCGACCTGCGGATTCGCCCACCCCGCAGGAGATGCCGATGCAGGTGGCGCCCTCCGGAAAGACTGTAACAACTGTCCACTGTTGCTGGAGGACTTGGTTAACACCCCTCCACGGTCTAGCCAGCCCTGCCCCTGGGCCGGGTGACGCCCACATCTCGCAGCCCGCAGAGGCCTGGGAACTGACTTGTACTCGGTTCCGCTACCCACGTGGTCGCCCGGGGCAACCGCAAGGTCGATTTGAAAGACCAAAGTAAATGTGTAACAAATGCCGAAACCGACGCTGCCAAAGATATAATCACTGACTTTGCGGTTTAAATTTAAAAATGATATTAAAAAAATTGTCTGAACGAAAAGCACAGACTGACGACCGGAGGTGAAAGAGAGGGGCGGTACTTCCGGGTCAGGTGGGCCGGCTGCCTTGACCTTCTTCGGCGCTCGGCCATTTTGTCCCAGTCAGTCCGGAGGCTGCGGCTGGAGAGGAGCCCACAGAGGAGGAGGTGAA